AATACAATTATGTTTATATGATGATTATTCATGTTACAATTAAGCAACTGATTTTAAGTTTAAATGATTATATAAATATATTTTATATTGTATCAATATACTTTCTATCTCACGTGTCACTGTCAACACGATACATATTTATTTTTAATAAACAACTATTTTAATTTGAGAAACAAAATGCTTATTACCAAATATTAAATTTCTTTTTTTTCTCTCTCTTCATCTCACGAATCTTTTTTTTCTTTTCTTTTTATATTATTATTTAATATAATTGAATTTATTTGATTATTATTTATTTTACAATTAATTAACTCATTTTAAATTTTGTCTATGTATCTAAATATATTTTATAGTGTACAGAATAACTTTATCTCACATATCACAACAAAATAGTACCTATTTTATTTCAATCAATAATTTTCCTTGATTTAAAAGCTAAATTCCTTATTTTCAAAATCTTTTTTTTTTCTTTCTTTATCTCAAGATTCCTTTTTCTTCTTCTTTTTTGTTCATGATTATTTAATACAATTAAGTTTATATAATTATTGTTTATTCTCCAATTAAATAACTTAATTCATATTTACATGTTTGTATAAGTACATTTTATATTGTATCAAACAAATTTTCTATCTCACAAGTCATTATTAGCACAATAATTATTTTATTTTAATCAATAATTATCTTAATTTAAGAGACAAAACTTTTATTTCCAAATATCAAAATTTTATTTTTCTTTCTTCTTCATCTTGTTTTTTTTTAAATTGTATAATTATTTACTAGAATTGAATTTATATAATTATTATTTATTTTATAATAAAATAATGTCACGAAAATTTAATAGTTGTTCATTATAAAAATTTTTACACTCTCAATATATCGTAATCATTCAAAGTACTACTACCTCCATCCTTAATTATAAGATTCTCTTGAGTTTTCTATTTATTCTTTTTTATAAGATTTAGTTCAACTTTTTAAATGCATTAATTATTTTTTCTGCAATAATAAGTACTATAGTATAAATATTGATTGTTTTTCTCTTTTAAAAATAAACTTGTAAAATTATAAAAATAATAAATAAATTTAGGCAAAATACTCATTTTCGTTCCTTAACTTTATCTCGGGGTCCAGTTTGGTCCCTTAACTTTAAAAAGTTGCAAGTTGGTCCTTTAACTTTTAAAATGGTGTCAATTGAGTCTTCACCATTAGTTGTCCTCAAACGTCCGTTCATTGAGCCAACGTGGCAGATGACTTGACAAGGTAATTTCATCTTCTTGTTTCCTTTTTGTCGTTTCATTATCGTTTCCAATTTTAGAAATTTTGTTTCCTTCTTGTTCCATTATCGTTTCCAATCCCAAATCCCAAATCAAACCTAGGGTTTTGGCAAGCATGATATCAGATTGTTCGTCGCCGATGTTGAAACAGGAAAAACTCAGAAAGTGGAAATTCGAATGTTTACAGTAGGTCACAATGGAAGCCCATATGTCATTGTGGAGACATGACTGTTCTTCAAAGGGCAACTATTGTTAAGAATATGAGAAAACTTTTCTGGGGTTGTCCAAATTATAAGGTATGCAAGTTTTTTAATATCTTAATAATTTTTGTTTAAGTTTCATTTTGTAGGTAACCTTGACCTCTAAACAATGAAAATTTCAGGGAGGTATGCAAGTTGCGTATGCTTACTTTGGTTGGTTTTTATGAGGAGGTGGGTGATGAGAAAGATCAATTATGGATGCATAGGTTGGGTGTGGTTACTAAGGGACTTGCTGAAGCAAAAAAGGACATTGAAAAAGTGACAACGGTGAATGAAGAATTAGGGAAAAAGTTGATGAATCTTGAAAGTGAAATGAAGAGTATCATGAAGTGGAAAAACTTTTGAATTTGATGTTTGTGATGATTATCATTGTATTAGTTTTTAGAATGAGTTAGGGTATTATTAAGAATAGGTAAAGGTTTGTTTGTAAGAGTTTTGTTAAGGTTTGTTTGTAAGAATTATTTTAAGGTTTGTTTGTAAGAATTATGTTAAAGTTCTGTTAAAGTTTGTAACTGTTGGATTGTATCAGTTGAGTATGACTGCAATAGTTGGAATTTGTATGACCTGTAATTAAAGTTAAAGTTTGTTGTTTGTAATTTTGAGCATGATCTGTAATGGTCTCTATAAGAATTTGTATCAGTGTTCAACATATAACCTGAAAGATTGGTATGTACCATAAATGGTGCCTACCATAAAGTTGAGTATGTTTTCAATATTTAGTTTTTTAAGAGAAGTTAATTATTGAACACATAATTTTTGACACATAATTTTCAACACAATTTTTTTTTACACAAACTGGTTCCATTCCATAACAGCTACATAACCTGATACATATGTTCCACAAAATACATAAAGTGGTTCCAAACAGCACCAAAATACACAAACTTAGCAATAACAACACCAAACTGATAATATGTTCCAAAATGATAAACCGATAGCCTAATTAAACTTGAAAGCAGTTCCAAAAAACACAAAATACATGAACTGATAGCCTAATTATATCTAGAGATTCTTCTCTGGCGTGGTCCTCTTTGTTGGAGTAGACTTCCTTGTTACTGGGCCAACAACATTCTTGACAGCACTCAACCTAGTTGCAGGCCCAAGTGGTACAAAAGATCTTGTTAGCTTCCTAACATGAAGCTTTTGTGTCTTGCCCTTAGCAACATAACATATGTACAACCTTCTAAAATATGGCTTGTGATCAACAACACCTTCTTGTACAGGATCAACATTGATCTTAACTGTTGACCCTGGATTGGCTCTTAATAGTTTATGATAGTAGTCATAGACTCTCGTGTAATCTCCCAAAAAAGAACCATCAACATAGTCTCTAGCTGAAAATTTTGATCTTATTGCTTTGGTTTTGTTGACCCCAACATTTCACTTTTTTGTGCCTTCTTCTTGATATCCTTTATGGTCATCCTTGGATTGTTTTTCAAGCTATTCTGAATTCTTTTGCTCAACCACTTTGTACTCATCAACTTCACATTATACTTTCTACTACAACTGTGTTTGTCAATTACTTTCCTGAGTTGCCAAGAGTCTTCATTTGACAACTTGCTACAATAAGCTTCCCACTCACAACCAACTTTACATCTAACCCTTACCCTAACTCTGTCATTTTTTATAAACCTTATGTCTATACCATTTTGCACATCATAGGATGTTGTTGCTTCCTTAAAATCACCCTTTGAACTAAAAAACATTCTCACATCCCACTTGTAATCTGACATGTCTTTTGGCTGCCTGAAAATTAGATGTTTTTTTCTTGGAACTCCACTACTATCATCACTATCACAACCACTTTGCATGTCCTTATTGTCATTGTCATTCCCTTTATCTTCTATAGACTTTTCTTTAAGTTTTTGGACTTTTCCATTACCATCACTTTCATACCCAATTAGGTTAGCGAGTTCATTTTCCTCAATGACATCATACCCATCAGACTCATCCTCAAAAGCCACTTCTTGAGCACTATCATAATTGTAGTCTTCATCTTCACTATCATCATAATTTACACCAACTTTACCTTGTTCAACTCCAACATTAACTTCTTCAAATCCAACATTACATTTCTCCACTGCAGGATTAACTTGTTCAACTCCAACATTAATTTCCTCAACTCCAACATTACATTCCTCCACTGTAGGATTAACTTGTTCAACTCAAGCATCACTTTCCTCCATCACAACAGTGGTTTGTTCAACTCCAACAGCTTCATCATGCAGTTTACTAAGTAACTCTTCCACCTCATCTACAATTTCAGCAGACCCCTCATCAACATTATCAACAACAACATTACAGTAGTCAGGATGAGACAAGGTGTGTTGAATGTAAATATCAACACTTTGCTGCACTCTATAAAGATCTGCAATTTTTAAAGCACCATTGTCATCAACAAGTGCATTCATCCCAAATTGAGGGTCCTTGTAATATATTGTTTCAAACTCCCTATAACCCAAGTCTTTCAATATACCAACTAGTTCAAAATAACTCCATTTGTCGACATCTACTCTCAAATCATCTACTGCTTCATTTTCATATACACTAAGACCTTCATCCATGAATTCATCACTATGATGAATTTTGAGATTTATGTATTCATCCATTATACCTATTCATATTACCTAAATAATTAGAGTTTACACGAAAACAATTACATAAACCCTAAATCTGAACATAACCACATATTACCCTAACACTTTCGTAAACCCTAAATCAGAAAGAAATTTACTAACCTTTTGATAAACACGTCTTGAATCGTCTTCAATCCTTCACGTCGTTGATGCAACAATCCTATGCGCCCTCAATCTGTCGCGCCTTCACTGAGATTTGTCCCTTCCATTCGTCATCGCGGCATCAAGATTATATCCTTAGTCGTTTGAGTTTTTGGGTAATGGAAAGCAAAAATACACTTGGATTTGTTTTAATACATGTTATATCCACGTCAACAACATAAAAGCCACCTTAACAAACATGATACTAATTAACTAGCTTTGACTAACGACAACAGACGAAAGAATAAACGTGACACCATTTTAAAAGTTAAAGGACCAACTTGTCACTTTTTAAAATTAAGGGATCAAACTGGACCCCGAATTAAAATTAAGGAAAAAAAATATTTTACCATAAATTTAATAGTTTTATCAACTTTCTCAATTTAATCAGTGAATTTTATATTTAAAAAAAAAAGATAGTTTTATTTGAGATGAAATGAAAATAATGGTCAAACCTTTCAAATTCAAATATGTAAAGACTAAAGACTCTTTTAAAAACACTTTTAAACCTGCCCGAATTTTATATTTCTTTTTGTTATTTAAAAAACTAGTTAGTGACATGAAGCGTCGCTTTCAAAACCAAAACAAGTGTTTCAGTTCCACTTCGTTTTTATAAAGCATTGCAAGTGGTTGAAAAAACCCAGTAATGTGAGAGTGAATCACTTGCTTGTGTTGTGTTAGAGTTCTGAGTTATGAAGAAACAAGGTTCAGACCACAGTTCAGACCACAAACAACAAGAGAATGAAGAACAAGATAACATAGAGCAAAGTACTAGCAAATCCCCTTCACCGCCGCTTCATTCTCTCTCAGACTCCCCAATTTCCGACGACCATCGCTCCCTCCCTCTAGTCGCACAACCGCCGGTGGTAACTGCTCACCGATTCCAGGTTGAGCCAGCTGTCATCACCAAGGTAGATCCCGGCGCAGAAGAGGGTTTCGTCGGTGTAAAAGAGGTTGAACGTGAACGAGAACAATCCACCACCGGAGATGGTGGTGGTGGTGGTAACCGGAGATTAAGACCCGACGTGTCGAGTTTGTTGAGGTCGGAGAAAGTTGTGAATTTGAATAAGTTTTTGTTGGGTCTTAGAATTGGTGGATTTGTTTTCTGCTTGGTTTCTTTTTCTGTGTTGGTTGCTGATAGGAAAAAGGGTTGGGCTCTTGACTCTTTCTATTTGTACAAAGAATTCAGGTTAGGCACTTTCTTTTCATATGAACTAAGTAGAAAAGCAAGTGTTTTACCATTACGATAATTGATTTTGGTTTGTGATTTTGTATTGCAGGTATAGCTTATCTGTGAATGTGATTGGGTTTGTGTATTCGGGGTTGCAGATATGTGATTTAGTCAAGTACCTGATCAGCAGAAAGCATATAGTGGACCATAGACTAAGGGGTTACTTCACTTTTTCATTGGATCAGGTAACCAGTTGTGCTTCTGACTTGTGATTAACCCTAAAAACACTTGTTGCCATGATGATTATGTGTTTGTTATAGGGGCCGCGATTGATTACAAGTGTACCAATGAAACTTCTAGTCCTTAAATATTTGTTCCTGAGTAGTCAATAGTGGCCAATAGCGGCACTCTCCCACTATAGAGGAGAGGAATGGAGGCCGACCGCTATGGGAAGAGCCTTAGCAGTGCAGAGCGGTTTTTGGCTTGCTATCCTCTTCCCTTCTAAGAAACCAAAATTACCCATCTACAATGTTTTAAGGGTAATTTTGGGTTTTTTCAATCAAATTTGAGTTGAGACTCAACCTTACTCTTTTACATTAAATATATGTTTATAACTATTATATGTAATTTGTCCAGAAAATGATCAAATAGAGCGGTCATCCTGTTATACGCTATCCTACTATCCCACTTTTGGGGTCGGCCGCTCCGCGTCGCTATCCAGGAATGGTGACTCTGATTTATTCTAAATTGAAGTCATTACTTTCAACTCGAAATGTCAAAATTTCCAAACTCAGACATCAGAAACCAAATTTTGTGGTTCTTGCATAGACCCTTTTGAAGTGTTTTTTTAATACCTTTTCCCATGAATCTGAGTTTGAGTTCTTGCTTTCTAAAAGTTGGTTTCCAAGTTGCACACTCCTTTCCAAAACCCAAGTTTAGAATTTGGTTTGTTCATTTACAGTCACACAAGTTTCGTCTTCGGGTTTTCTTTTACATAACAGCACATTTTCACAATTCTTTTAGAACATCATTTCAACTGCTATTTGCTTTGATGAAACTCCCTTCATCATAAAGTTTTCTTTTGCTTTGATCTTTAGGTTTCAAAGATTACTGAACACCAGAATTTCACAACTTTTTTAGCACTGTATTTCAACTTACTAAGGCTTCTAATTAAATGAAGAATTAAATATTTATTTAATTGAGAAATTGGAAATTAATTCAAAGTAGGCCTTTTAGTATCGGTTGTTCTTCACTCTTTCTTCATGATATGAAAAATGTGTGTTCTCTAGTTTGATACCTGCTTGTTGGATTGTTTGTTTTTAATTGCAGATCTTGACATACCTTCTAATGTCTGCATCCTCATCGGCTGCCACTAGAACTTATGACTGGGAGTCCAACTGGGGCAACGACAAGTTCCCGTTCATGGCAAATGCATCCGTGGTTTTGTCTTTCATTGCTTTTGTGGTGTTTGCCTCGGCCTCTCTGGTCTCGGGTTCTATCCTTTGTAGGTTCTGATACTTTATAATTTATATGAATACTACAAATGGATTGGAAAGTATCCAATGTTTTCGGGAAGAATACTTTGTAGATAGATAGGTATATGTAATTCACGCTGGTGTTGTTTTTATATTGTAAAGATATAGATGTGATTGCTTACAACTTTTTGTATTTATTAAGATGATATGTGATATGAATGAGTGTTTATTAGTGACAGCAATCTATATCATACAAATTGGTTTTGTTTTGCAGTGATGATATATTTATTCATAATTGAATTCATTCTCCACATTCTTATCAATAAAACAGAAAAATATCGTGTAAACTGTTCTTGTAAGATAACGAGTTTTTGATTTTCGAATGATTTTTCAATAAATTTTAACTTGTGTATTTTAATTTTAGGGATGAATAATAATTTTTTTTAATATTCGAGGATTATTTTAAAAAGAAATGATGATGGGATGAAAATAAAAAACTTATTAATATTAGGATATAAGCATATCTTCCGCTGTAAGATGCAAGAAAATTGGAAGACAAAGATAGATACCACTTTTGATAATGTTGAAACTGTTTGGAATTTTTGGGTTAATTTTGATAAAAATATTAGATTTGGAGTGATGTTGAAACTGTTTGGAATTTTTGGGTTAATTTTGATAAAAATATTAGATTTGGAGTGATGTTGAAACTGTTTGGAATTTTTGGGTTAATTTTGATAAAAAGATTGCTTTCAGAACAACTTAATTGTCTAAGTCCAACCTCTTTAGGGGGAAATTTTACCTTTCTGACCCTCCAACAGGGGAGGCTGACCTATTTACTCTTGGTCACAACACTTCCCCACGTCGATCTCTGCCCGTCACGCACGGTTCCACCATTCAGAAACATTCAAGACGCTTATACCTGTAAGTACGCCCCTGCCCGTGCCAACGACTAGTTATGGGCACGTCTGACCGTCCTAACGGCTATTTCTGTCAGTTACCTATTCTTCGGAAAACAGTTATCTCGTCCCGAAAATAGGGACCAATGACCAAGCGTTTGGGGCATTATAAAAATCCTCTCACTTGAGAGGGTCAGGTATCTAATTTTTCATCTTGAAACACACATACTCTGTACTTGCCCGCTCATTTTCTTACTTTAGCATCGGAGTGTCTCGCAGGTACACCCCCTCCTCTTTCACACTCAGCATCACAGACGTTCATCTTTGACCCATCTCAGATTCTGATCGTTCCATAAGATCAGTGGCGCCGTCTGTGGGAAACTTGTTATCCTCGTCTTCTCTCTTTTCGTAGACACAAGACCAAAACAACTCTTCAACTTTCTGATCAAGGCTTCCCGTAACAACAATCTTGATGCTCATAACTCTGCTTTCCTACCCCGTCAGCAAGACTGATGCTGAATGGGCCTCCACCTCTCATGCTGCCAACGCCCTCCGACAAAGAAACGGAGTCATAGTTTCTCTATCCCCTGTCTGTGCCAATCACAGCGAAACACCACTTGACCAGCAGCACCTACCGGTCCCAGTTTCGCCCAACGCCGACCCGGCCATGGCGGCCCTCCTCGAGATTCTCAACAAGACCAACCTCCTCATTCTCAACCAAAGCGCAAGAATTGAAGTTTTGGAAGAATCCTGTCGTCCAAGATCCCCTCCACCGAGGAAAGAACCACAACAATGGAGTCCCCCTCCCCGACGCGAGAGGAACCGTCAAACGTCTTCAGAACTAGAGATCGTGGTCGTCCGCAAATGCGACTAGATTTCTCCCAAGAGCCAACCATCTCCGCAGCCCAAGAGGATCCGAAGAGGACACCTGGTAGAGTCTCCACGCTTGCCGCCTAGGTTTAAGGGCCGAGCACAAACCCCGTCTCCACGACGTGGCCACTGTCCTACCTACGGATGTAACACCCCAAATTTATTGGAATATTTAGTTAAATATGAATATTCGTATTTTTGGTGATTTTCGGTAGTTGGTGTGAATATTGAGAATTATGGATTTTGAGTTATTTATTTAAATAATAGTATATAATATGAATATATTGGTATTATTATTAATTTAAATAAATATAAGTGAATTGAGGGCAAAGTGGACTTTTGAGGATGAGTTAGTGAGGGTGAAATTGGAAAGTCCATTTTAAGGCCCAAAGTTAGGTTTAACAAAAAGGAATTTTGAGGAAATTAGGCATTCGTGGCCAAATCTGTTTTTGAGGTTGTTTAAGTATGGTGAATATTACCTTCATTGTTTTCAATATATGATTCAATGCATTTAAAGCCGATTTAAGGATTTAAGAGGTTTTGAGTCTGAGGAAATTAGGCCTTCGTGGCCAAATCTGTTTTTGAGGTTGTTTAACCATGTAGGGTAAATGATTGTGAGAACTATGATGACCTTGGGGTATTTGTAAGAATTTATGAGAATAATACATGAATGTATAATGAAGTCCCATGAGTAATTGTACTGATTTATGATGTTGATTTCATGAGGCTTTGGTGATTTTATGATGACATGATTATTATGATGATTTTGATGAATGATGATGCACCTAATGAGTTTATTATGAGAATGATATTGACGTGTGTACCATGCATTCATATGCATTCCAGACTTCGGTCTAGTGTTTGATTCTTGTGACTTCAGTACCATTGTGCGAATGTGAAGTATTTTGTTGTGCTCCGGTTCTTGTGTAGAATCGATCATATTGATGGGGATTTATGGAGGGTTGATGGTCCAGTGTCCATCGAACTTTAATGAATTGGTACCACATGCATGAGTCTTGTTGCATTTGCATTTATGTGACAATTTGGTGTAATTTATGATATTATGGCTTTTTGATGTTTTCTTGATGATTATGATGATGTTGAATACGAAAATGACACTATTTTATATATTGATTCCTATATTGATTATTATGAATCACTTTACTCACCCTGTCTATTTGAATGTTGCCTCTACGTGGGTAAAGTGCAGATGACCAGGTTTAGCCGTGGATGCCGTCGAGGACTTTTTGGAGTTTTTGACTTTTGGTTGGCTTAGAGGGTCTTGCTCTGATGGTGTAACATCGGGTTGGGGTCTTTGAGTTAAACCATGTTTTATTGATTATTGTTAGTTTGATTATGTTCTTGTGCAAGAAAAACTTTGGATTTTGCCTTTTTGAGTAATTTTTGAGTAATTTTGGGAAAACCCGTTGTTTACAGAGCATTGACTTTTATTTGAGTTATTCAGAAACATACGCCCTTTGAGGTGATTTTTATTGTGTTTAATATTTTACTATGATAAATGTGATTGATTTGCCATTATATTTGTGGGGTAGAAAAGGGTGTTACATTAGTGGTATCAGAGCAGGTCGGTTCGTCCGGCCAAGTTTTTATATTGTTAGTCCCTTGTCAGTCAATAGTGTGAGAACACTATTGGATGAGTTTTTTTCTTCTGACCCTGTTGTTGGCTGCAGATGGCTGGAAGAAACGATTATGCTCTTGCTGATGCGCTGGAATCGCTTGCCCAAGTGATGACCCAGAATGGTGAACCTCCAGATGAGTTTCGTGCTTTGGGGAAGTTCCAGAGGAAAAATTCGCCGACTTTTATGGGCACTCATGATCTTGATGGTGTGCAGAAGTGGCTAAGAGTGATTGAGAAGATTTTCCGGGTTATGGCGTGCGCTGATGCTCAGCAGGTGCAGTTTGGTACGTATATGGTAGTAGAGGAAGTTGATGACTGGTGGGATAACACTCGTCAGAGATTGGGAGGTGTTGGCATTGAAATAACTTGGACGGTGTTTAAGGAAGAAATTTTGAGGAAGTATTTTCCTGAAGATGTTCGGGGGCAAGAAAGAGGTGGAATTCCTTGAGCTGAAGCAAGGAAATATGACTGTGGCCGAGTATGTGGAAAAGTTTGAGGCTTTAGTGAAGTTTTGTCTGCATTACAATCGTGCTGACGCAGAGATGTGTAAGTGTCTCAAGTTCGAGAATGAATTGAGACCAGAGACTAAGCAGAGAATTGGGCACCAGCAGATTCATCGGTTTGCGAATTGGTGGACAAGAGCATAATTTATTATGAGGATAGTCGAGCTCGATCTGCTCACTACAAGCAGCTGAGTGAGAAGAAAGAGAAAGGACAATATTGAAGTTGAGAAAATACTTAGAAGGGGGGAGGGGGGGTTGAATAAGTATGAAAATAAAAACTTAGAAGTAAACACTCAAGTATTTTTATCCTGGTTCGTTGAACTCAACTATTCCAGTCCACCATATCTAGAGTGATTTGCCTTTCTCAAACAAGGACTTAATCCACTATTTAATCAACTGATTACAATAGTAAGCACTATAAACAACTGTTCAAAGTCTTCTTAAGAACTTCTGATCCCAACTGGATCTTCTTAAGGAACTATTACAATAGTAATCACTAAGAACAACTGTTCAAAGTCTTCTCAAGAACTTCTGATCCCAACTGGATCTTCTTAAGGAACTATTACAATAAAATGTAAGATTAATACAAGTGTATGAATGCTTCTAACAAGCTTTATCACAACAGTGATTTTTCACTTAATGTTAAGAACAAAAGAATAAACTCAATAAGAATATTTTATGAGAGCTTCTAAGAGTTTCTTTCAGAGGTTCGTTGGTTGTAGATTTCTACTGAAGAAGATGATGAAGACTTGCTTTTATATGCACAGTAGTCCACAAAGTCTTGACATTGGAGGCTGTGTACTGAAAAGGCCTGAACCTTTTTGTCTTTACATCACATGACCTTTCCTGGAAATAGAATGCACTAAGAAATGCTTTTGGTCTGTGCTCTAGTGTCAAGCATGAAAGAGGAAAAAGTCGTTGAACTAAATCAAAGAATATTACTTTGAATTCTTCTTCAATAAGTATTTCTTTTCAGCAAGGTAACCATCAGATTTTGCATGATCAGAGTCTTGGATACCCATCAGATTTTGCTGAATCAGAGTAAGGCAGCAAGTGTGCTTTAGCGTGTAGTTCTATCAGAGCAGAGTTTTATGAATCAGATCCTCAGTACATGCAGCGTGTAGTACTCTCA